AGTGTGATACATAGGTAGGTACAAATCTAATTCATTACTATGCTTTACAGTTTATATATATATATGTGTATATATACACACATATATACACACACACATGTATACACACATGTAACAATATTAAGAAGTAAAATTTTAAAAGCCAAACCCTCTGCTCCTCCTAGAAGGCAATCTGTCACAAGATAGGACGAATTCCTTTCCTCCACAGCCCTTCTTGGCTCCACTTGTGCTTTAGTCTAGATTAATTTTCCATGTCTAAATTAAACATCTCACTTCAAGAACTCTGGCTTAGCATCTGCTTCATGTTCCAAACCCTCCACACACCACCACATACCATTGGCTAATGATTCAAGGGAAGTAGTACTTAATGAATACATGTATGTCCTATCATCCTTATTTGTAGTTTTTTTCTTCCCAGGTAAGAAAACACTAACATTGGAAATATAGCTAACCAATTTAACCCCAAGTTACCAAACTAGAGGGCAGCAGATACTAAGATTCAAATCAAGTTTCATATTACTTCTACCCAATGCTAGTTTCTAACAACACAATAATGCATTAGCCCCACCTCATAAAATATCTCCTGAAAATGCACAGGGAACTAATTCAAAACTGTGGGTTAAGCTCTGTATTTACTTTATTTGCCAAACCCAATGGAGATGAAGGAAAAGTTATATGTTCCAAGAAATAATGATTCAAAGTCAGGCTGGAAAACAAGAAAGAATACAATAATGGATGTAATATTGAGAAACTCATGGAAGGCTAAGAAACACATCCTCATGGCAAAGAAAAATACAAAATTAATCAACAATGAAATAAAAAAAATCTAGTATGCTTTTATTGGCACTTGCTTGTGGTACCTTGTTTTCTTATATGTTTATATGTTTGTTTTTGTTGTTGTTGTTGTTGTTGTTTTTGCCTGTGGCCTCAACACTTTGGAATTATATCCTTCACAATCCTCTAAAGGATGGATTATTACAGATTTTTTTTTTTTCCTGCCAAGTGCACTGGGGTATGGCCAACTCAAGATCATAAAAAAAATTCAGTTTTTAGGGAATACAAATATTAAAATTGCACCTTAACTTCATAATAGAGATGTGTTCTGGTTAGGAATTCTGATGGAATATTATTCTACCAATTCCTAGTGTCAAAGTAAAAAAAAGAAAGTTTTTTCTGCAGTGGTAGTTTTGTTCAATTATATCAAATTTACTCTAAAGCAGAAAATGTGCCCCCTGCAGCTCTACCACTACCTAGGAATCGCTCAGTAGACATCACACCCTGACTAGACCCAAGGCTGGATCCAACCTCTATATATCCATCAAAACAGTAATCCAAGGCTATCAGATTTTCATAGATACCCTTAGGGAGGGAAAGAAACAACTTTGAAGTTCCTTTCAGATTCCATATTGTTAAGCAAATGATATAGTTTTAAAGTTGTTCTTAATGTTTTAACTAATATATTTAGTTGTTTCTTGGTAGACATGTTCTAATTTGTCCTAGTTCCTAGTGTATGATTTCTACCCAAAGAAAACTTTTAATCTAATGATGATATATGTGTAAAAAAATTAAGTGTCTTGTAAGGAAATACATATAGGCAAAATGAGGCAGTGACAGTGTATCTCTTACTCAAAAGGCTCCAACTAGCCCAAACAATCCTGACAAAAAAAGAGTAAGAGTGGTTCCCAGATTCTCAAATGATACTATAAAGTTATGGTAAAGGAAACAACATGGTAGTAGAAAAAAAATAGAAGATATGCAGATCAATAAAATTAAGTTGGAAGCCCAGAAACAAACCCATATATCTATGGGTTAAACTAGGAGTTAGTTTATGACAAAGGAGCCAACAGAATATGTTGGAAAAAGGAAAATATCTTCAACACATGGTTTTGGGGAAACTGGACAGCCATATACGAAAGAATGAAACCAGATCACCATCCTGCACATCACACAAAAATTAACTACAAATGGATTAGTCATAAAAGTAAGAATGTAAATGATAAAATACAACGAAGAAAAAATAGGAAAACTCTCCATGATACTGACTTCAGTGATGTCTTTCTAGACTTATCCAATAGCAAGAGAAACAAAAGTATCAACAAAAGGGACATCAAACTAAAAAAGTTTCTTCGTGGTGAAAGAAACCATCCCTAAAACAAAGAGACCCAATTGGAAGGTTCAAAATATTTGTACATCATACATCTGACAAGGGGCTAAAGTACAAGATATGTAAGGAAGTTACATAATTCAACAACAACAAAAAATAATCCAATCACAAAATGGGCAGAGGAGCTAAACAAACACTTTTCTAAAGAAGACATAAAGATGACCACTAGGCACATGAAAAAATTCTCATCATCATTATCATCAGGGAAATATTAACCAAAATCACAATGAGATACTATCTAACATTTTAACTATATATTAAAAGCAGATCTAACATATGATCCAGTATCTACCTGGTATCCACTCCCAGGTCTACCTAAGCAATGCAAAACACTAATTTGAAGGGATATATGCACTCCTAAGTTCATTGCAGCACTGCTCACAATAACCAGGTTATAAAAACAACCTAGGTGCCCAAAGACAGATGAGTGGGTTGGAGAAATATGACACACACACACACCATGGAATATTATCAGCCAAAAAAAAGAAAAATATGAACTTGTGCCATTTGTGACAACATGGATGGAGATGGAGGGGAAAATGTTAAGTCAGAAGGAGAAAAACCAAATACTGGATCATTTCATTGACATATAAAAAGTGGAGAAACAAAACAAAGGGTCAGAGGAGACCACACCTTGAAATCTGACTGAGGAACTGAAGCTGAGAGAAGGGGAGGGGGAGACACACAGTGTGGCCCTGGCACACAGGCTCATGGCGGAGTACTATGGTGGAGTACTATGTGCTGTGGTGACATGCATCTGAGAAAGGGTCATCCCCTGATTAGATTTCACATACACTGTTAGAAACCAGTGTTGCCTCCAAAAAGAATTTTTTATGCTAAAACGATATGCTCAGTTTTAAGCATAATAGAGGATGCATACTGGTAAATACTATTAATTGGGATAGACTGTTCTGTCCTGATAATTTGTAATACAGACTTGGTGTTCTAAGAAAAATAATTTGTTTCTAAGATGAAAATCTTCTGGGATTCTCACTGATACCTATCTATAGTCACACTAGGGAAAAATTATGACTTGAATTTATTGACCTTTAGAACTTTCAGAAAATCCAAAACATGCATATACACACACACATATTTACACATTATATATTTACATGATATACGTTCATATATAATGGAGTGTCACCAAATTTCTTGCACCTAAATTATGTTATTCAAAGTCCAAGTTAAAGCTAAAGAGTATGTATTTCTCTGACAAGAAATTTTAGGTCTTCTTAATAGAGTCAGAACCTTAATAACAAGGATTTCACTTTCATGACATTCAAGATTTTACACTATATTTTTAACGCATCAGACACAGCTACAATTATATTTATGTTACAGTTGCAGTTTGTCAAGTGGCTTATTAGATTGTTCTAAATGCATATCTGGGTAAATTTTGGTCTATTAAACAATTATAACTTGTCAGTCATTGTAAATGGATTTACTTGGTGAGTTGTAGGATAAATACTATATTAATCAGTTAGAGACTATTTGAAAAACAGAAGCTAGTTTTTCTACCTAAAATTGACAGGAACGATCAAGTGATAAAGGAGACAGATACTTTTGAGGCAGAGAGTGGGTGGCAAAGAAGAAGGGGGTTGGGAAAATTCTAAAATTATATGTCTGTGAAGAATAAGCAACAAAGAGAAAAAGAAAGAAATCCAGTGAAATATGTCTCGTGAATGCTGGTTTCTTGAGTGAAGTGCAGAGAGTCTTTGAACACCAGTTTCCCCTAAGCCTACACAGGCATGCTTAGAAACATAATTGCTGCGTCTGATCTGTTACACATACACAGAAAGCAACATGATGGCCACTTGGAAATGGCACCCCTGCCCCTGGGACAATGTCCTGGAGAGCATGGTGTACCAACGGGAAGGGCAGTCTCTGCAATCCCATACACACCCCGGTAGGGGTACCTCCCAGTTGCTCCAAGTCTGCCACTGCTGGTGGAGGGAATGATTTAGAAGTCCACTAACAAACATGTTAAATATTATACTTGTGTATGTATGTATGTATGTATGTATGCATACATACATACATATACAAGCGGATATGTATGTATTTAAATATATTAGCAGAGTAAACCCCTGATTTTGTGGGTGGTAAACATGGAATGAGTCTGAGTCAGAAAAAATAGTGGGTTCAAAACTGATTTAAAGATAAATACATTAGGAAAACAGTGGAACAAGTAGTATGTAGTTAATGACAAACATACCAAAGGTATTTTGCAAAATAGTAAACCTAAAGAAACACTGGAATAATAAAGTAGCAAGTCATCTTAGACTTGTGACAATGCATTCTGTGGTCTGTACACCAGGGCTGGGGTAATAGAACCTACATCCACCAAGAAAATAGTTTTAAAGTCTGAATCACATTGAGGTTGCTTTGGTCTTGGATGTAGGTGTCATGGAATGGAAACTCAGAAATAACACCAAGAAGATACCAAAAGAGGGCCTCCCTGGTGGCGCAAGGGGTTAAGTCTCAGCACTATGGATCTGTTGGTAGTGGCAGCCACTGCAGCACAAGTTTGATCCCCAGCCAAGAAGCTAAGCCACATGGCTAGGCAGACCTCTCCAGTCTCACCTTCTACTCCCCTCAGCAGTGTATTTCAGTCAATCCACCTGTTCTGCACCCCACTTTGTCTTTGGTGAATCCTCACACACATACCCCACCTCTGGCCTACACCCCATCTCTTGTATACATAGATAAAATAAATCTTTAAAAAAAAAGAAGATACTAAAATATTATACTTGATTATGAAGCTAAGGGATGAAAACTGAAAACCAAACCCATGGGTAATGCAAAATACGGCTAAAAATTCAGCAATACTTACTTCCCCTTTTTAATTGTGTTCCTGCCAAGCAGTGGATCGAGCACTGGATCGATTGTTTCTTCAAGATTTTCAATTAAGATGATATCTCCAAAGGCTAAAGCAGTTTCAATGGCATTCAAAAACCTTAAAATTTAGTCAGAATTGAGATAACAAAAGTGAATAAGCACAGGTAAAGCATTTGTACTTATTTATGTTAAATTACATTTCATTTAATGTAGATATTTTAAGTGAAACTAAGGTAATTAAAATTCAACAGTTTGAACTAATAAATCTATGTGTATACTAATTACTTTTGATATTAGCATGGTGGAAATAAATGTAATGTACCTAAACATTATGCATTTAATTAACTGAATTGGCTCCTACTTTAGACCAAAAAAAAAAAAATCAGATTCTATTAAATGTCTATGGTTTTGGCAATTTTTCATTGTTTAAACCCAATTTTCAGTTTTCATTGTTTAAGCTCAGTCATCTGAAGTGGTGTACCGTCATTTTATTTCATCCCTTCTCTCCAAAACTAATTTTCTTCATGAATTCAGATAAGCAAGGACTACATTTATCTTACTGCAGAAATTCCCTATTTCATCTTAAATGTGAAAAGATTGAGTAGTCAAAGGAAAAATCCGTCAGTCTAAAATTACTTCTTCAACACTGTAATGCAGACTCACTGACAGAGTTGACACAGCTCTCAAAAAGGAAATGTAATACTTGACTAAGAAACCAAATAATCTTTGGGAATTATTTAATTAAGTTAAATAATCAACTTAATTTTTTCTTTAAATTGAGAAATTTAGTTTGCTCACTGCCCATCACAAATGCCCTTTCAAAGAGACACTGGCTGTGGAACATAAGCAGGCAGGTAAACAAGTAGAGTACAGTGCAGTATTTCGAGGTAACCAAGAGGGCCAACAAATGCCAGGGCTTCATAAAAATCAGACCGCTTCCACATAAGCTTAACAGATAGTTCTTCAGAGTGCACACACCCTTTTTGGCCCAAATGTGTGACTTTCAGGTCTGTTCCATACTTATTCTTGATCCATTTGATTCCCTGTTTCTGGGGATCTATCAGCAGGGGCCAGCGCTCACAGTGTGTTAGGATAGTGGCGTTTTCAGTCGACATTCTGTCACTGGGCAGACCTTCGTTATTCCACGCAGCAACTGTTGCATCATCTGTCAACATGGTGATCAAGTCCAGGTTTTCACTTATTGGGATGGAAACCTTTAAAAGCAGAATTCAATTCAAGAAACTGCCAGTGTGGCAGAGGAGAGTACTCAGTGTAAAACACAGGAAACACAGACAAGAGAATACATGCAAATTCACTGTGAACCCTCAGGGGCCAAAAAACCTCCTCATGAAATACAAACCAACCACTTAAGCCTGCTATTTACCTCTCACAATTCTGTCAACTCTGGTAATCAACAACTGGTTGAGTAACTGCATATATTTGGCTTCAGTCGAATGAGACTTTGCCCTACACATATATTTACAGCTACCCCAAGGTGAGAATGAATTGAGACACTGGGAAGTATGGCAGGACACCAGAGTGCTGTCTGCCCCGGGGTAATCAACCCAGGTAAGATATACCAAAATGCAATAGCTTGCTTGGAAATTTCATCCTTCACTACAGACTAACACTACATAGAAATAACTCAAAAGTAACATTGTTGGATCATAATGGTAATACGATTTTTAATTTTTTTGTTGAACCCTACCACATTTTTAACCACTAGCTTCTGGCTATATTCACCTCTCTTTCTGAGCACACCTTCCACTTCTGAATTTTCTTTCACCTATTCATGGCCTTGTGAGACTCCTTATCTTGCTGGCTTCTCTTGAATTAGTTGGATTTATTATTCTTTGTTCTCACTTTTTGTTCTCAGATTAAGCATTGTATGTAAAAGCTTTATTAACGGGATTATAAAACTATGTTTTACAAATTTATTTTTGGTTTCCGAAAACGCATGACAACACTTAACATCTACTCTCCTCTTGCGATTGGTGGGCATTTGGATGTTACCACCACTCTCCCCACCCTTGTTCTATTCCACTTTTATTTTCTTTAACCAACTGGCACTGCATTTCACTACTTTCCCAAGAGGACAGACACCAGCAGATGCAATCATATATTGCTTTTCTTTATACCACCGCCTCTGCCTGTGTCTACTTCTGTCTTTTTACCTCCCACCTAGTTGAAGCAGTTTTGCTTCTCCTAACTGAGGTCATTCCTTTTACCTATATTCGAGAGCACAGCCTCTACCAGTTCCTGATGTTTCACTTCTCTTCACCCTTTAGTGATCAGAAATTCCTTTTCCTGGTGCACAGAAACTTGGCTCCATGTCTCCCCTGAGGACACATTAACTCCACCCCCACTATAAAACTTGGTGAAATCTTGTTTCTGGTTCATTAGAACTTTGCAGTTACAGAGGACCTTCAAGTTTGCACATCTGAAGACACTCTTTCTTAGTTCTCAGTTCTCTTAGCTGTGTCTACAGCTTTGGGACTTCTGGCCATTCCTATCTTTATACTCCTGAATCCACTCTGGCCTAGGAGTTGCTCAATCTTAACTACTCCATCTCATCTTCTTTCACTCTCCATTTACATATCCTGTCAGCCCTGAGCTATTTCTCTGTACTGTTCTCTCACCTCTTCCTAGCGGTTTATATTATGCAATTATAATATGGCCCATTACTAATGACATAGTGTTCAGCTATAGTTTTCAGTTTATAATAATACAATAGTTAATCTACATCCTCTCAAACCTAAAAGTCACCTGTAATTCTTATTTGCTATGAAGCAATGAAGGAGAGATTTACCTGTAGTTTTCCCCAAATGGTTGGTTGGTTCTATCACCATTATTGACAGATACATTTCTTCTCTTACGACATGCTATCTACACTTAAGGATATATATATTCCTTTATTTTAAACATATATAATGATAATTTACTATCATTAAACACAGATTAACCATAGCTCTGGAAAAATACTACTACTGGATAAATCTCTTAGGGAAATACTTTATGTCTACACAAAAACTTATACACAATAATTAAAAATGTTCACAGCAGCATTATTCACAATACCAAACATAGAAACAACTTTTCTATGTTTTAACTTTCAAATTTAGGATGAAAGTTCTTTCTTTTACTACATAGTAATATACATGTAATCTGAAAGTAGTCATGAAAAAAGACTGCTTAGTAACCCATAATATTAGTAAGAAAACAGAGTTTAAAAGTATGCAGCATAGTAATTCAAATTGGAATTCAGTTATCTAACAGGTGATTTTGTTAGAAGCACTTTTCCCACTTCTTAGCTATAGTTTATGTAACTCATCTTCATATTTTCCATGTCTTTGTTGAAACCATTATTAAAATAAGAAAAACTACAACGCTCAAGAACAGCTTCATACTAGAATTTCTAGTCTGTTATCCTTACTGAAGTACAAAAGTGCCTGGTATATAGTATGTTTCATTACTGAAACTTCAATAGGAGGCTCACAAACACTGAGTTTACCTTCTGTTGAAGAAAGGGAACCCACTTGCAGTCCACCAGTTCCTGGCGATACTGTCTCGTAAAGGATCCAACATAAGACACAAAGGCTGTGGTGAGGAGAACATCTCCACAGAGTGTCTTATTCTGGGTTTCTAAAGATGTAATAGACTGACTCCAGCGAACCTTTTCTGACTGTAAGATAAAATTTACTGAGATGTAACTGCTGGATGAACATCAACTCAGCAAATGTTCAGTGTCATTACCCTACAGCAGCTTCAGTCTGTGTCTTTCTACGCAGTCTCTGAAGGAAGAGAACATGGTTGCTGCGACTACTGTAATCACTCATATGCTTAAAAGCCGTCATTATGAGTAATCTCTCTTCGGTGGGGCTTATGATGGTACTGGATCCTTAATATCTCCTCTTTGGACACCCTAACTCTTTACATTGATTGGGGTCCTTCTCGAAAGGCTGAAAAGTACTTGCCTGATTCTATGGTAGTAGAGGACCAACTGCTGTGGTCAAAACTGAGTGATGTTAGGAATTTTAGCAGTATACTGACTGTTCTCCATCCACCTGCTTTCCCGTGGTGGTACTCAACACTATGAAAACATTTTTTTTCTTAACATAATGGCTAGGAACTGATTACAGAAAGAAAAATGACAAACATCACTCATATTAAAAACTAATATGATGAAGATTTAATAGTCATCTAATCTGGATTCTATTAAAGAATAGTGCCCACAGTTACAATTCATTTTTCTCATATAATTACTTGATCAATGGAAGAACCTATAACATATGTAAAAAGATGGAAGCCAGGAGACCTTCCCTAACCTTGAACACAATATGCTCAAAGAATGATGCTGAAGTCCTTATATCTAGTTGAGTGGCCATTTAAAATCTGATTTCTAGGTTAACTATGTGAAGCCCTTATTATTGGATTTGAATAAAACTGCAATAAATATCTATGGATTGATTGAACTGCAAGGTAGCTCAGTATTTCACTTTGTTTTAATGCTAAAACGAATACAACACTCTAAGAAATGCAAATTAATAGGACCCAGGGGAAAAAAGTAGCAAAGAAAAAAAAAATAGTACAATGAAGAACCACCCTGTGAATCTAGCTTTTTTCATGAGAACACAGGAAATAAGAATGACATATGTCAAAGTAGACTGGAATGCCAGTCCCCTGTAGGCCAACATAATACCCACAACACTGAGGTTATAAAGTGAACAGGTGAACTGTTTATCATAGTTGTTTTAAGATACTCTCTTTACTTATCTTGATAAAGGATCTCCAAGTTAGCTACATAATTGAGCACTTAGAAACTAATTCTCCAGTGCTTTTTACAGAATTCATTATTTTCTTTCCTCAGCTACAGATAATATATCCATTAATTTTGAAGGGAATCTCTCATTTGCTTTCCTTCCATCTGTGTTGTCTTTGGTTAGTAAATAATAAACAATAAAGAGCACCCACCTCATTTTCCAAAGCAGCTTTGAAATTTGAAGATTTACTAAACAGACTTATTGGCTATTGAAATCGTCAATAAATTCGCTATACCACCCATGCAACATAAATCATTACTGACACTGGCTAACAAGGGTTTAAGAGTTGGAACATGTCCTGTAATAAATTTCTAGACAGTTAAAAATCACTATAATTTTATTCTAATGCATTATAGATTGCCTGTAATGTCATCCTGGCTGGGGTGACCCATTTCTAATTTTGAACAGCTGTTCAGCTCAGGAGTTAGTTAATGATTAAATATAAATTGCCTGATTTATTAGTCTGAATGGTTGAGCTTCCAGGTCAATGCTATATAGACAAAGTCATCAGTCTTGATGCTATTCAGAAGTTAACTGTCTCCTGTTCTAGTCAGAAGGAATTTATCCTCAAAGGAAAAGGTGTGACATCTTCAATTAATCCTTTAAAAAATATATACTTATATATCTTTTCCTAGTTAACATTATTCAATCTTTTTCCCTTTCTTCAGCTAAATCATCATGAGTAACTAAAACCTTGCAAGACATTGTTCTGTTAGGGATGGCTGGTGGAGCCTGTTTGTCTGGTGATGAACCCTGTAGTCATTCTAAAATTACTTCAAGAAAACTGCCTGACTAGCACTTTTTCTTTTCCTCAAATACCTCACAAATGATGAATACTTCAAACTGCTTCAATCTTACTACATTAAACAGGAGAAGTTGTAGAGGTGCAATTTCTCAACTGATCTAGAAGAATGAGGCTTCAAGGGCTCCAACATTTTATTAAAATCATAGGAGGCTCATAAAACTGCACTCATTCATTCAACAAGTATCTACGGATGCCTTTGATATGCCAGGGAGAAGTCTTTAAGCTTGGAGTAAATGGTGTAGAAAACAGACGAAGTTCTTGTTTTTGAAGAACTTATATTCTAGTTGGGGGAAACCCTCCCCCCAAACGTACATATATTCAGATAAGTATATATTTAAGTGTGTACTTGTGATGATAAATACTACAAAAAATAACAAAGTAGAGTAAGTGGAGAGCTCTATAGAGTGGGGTGGGACAGAGCTGACACCTGTGAGGAGGGGTGCAGCTGGTGTTCTTGGGCACATGGAGGACAGAGAAAACCACAGGAAGAAAAGAACTTTGAGCAGGGAGATGAGGAAAGTGAGGGATCCAGCAACATGATTATCTGGGGAGTGTAAGTCACCTGGAGAAAAACTGCAGAGGCTCTAGCAGGAGAGCAACTTGCAGGAGGAGGAAAGGCTAGTCAGCCAGTAAAGAAGAATTAGGAGGGAAGGTAGCAGGAGCAAGGAGAGATGCATCCAGGAGCCATGTCACCTGGGACTTTGGAGGCCATGTAGTTAGTACCTTAGGGCTGTAATTAGTTAGCTAATTAATTGCTGGGAATTCTGAGAAAGCAGTGACATGAAAGGATTTAATTTTTTAACACATTGCTCAGCTGCAATGAGGGGAGTGGCCTTGGTGGGGTGGGGTTGGAGGGAAGGCTGGGCAGGAATTCTGGGAGCGATGCTGGAGGCCTGGACCAGTGTGGTGACAGGAATGTGCTGGGAATGATAGGGTTCTGGATGGACTTTGAAGGCAAAGATAGTATCGTCTGCTGAGGCATGGATATAGATGTGAGGAAGAGAGCGAAAAGGTGATTCCAAAGGTTTTGGTCATAACACTTGGAAGAAAAGGCTTATAATTAAGGAGAGAGAATGGAGAGTGGATTTTACAAAAGTAACTGAGTTTATGTTCTATGAACTATGAGCTTCAGAAGGATTAAACTGGTAAGGTTTAAACTGGGTTAAAAGCTCTACTATTATGTATAAGAAATTAGGGTGTGACCCAACCAACCCCTCCTGAAACATACTTCTCCCACCTTTCCTGCTAAAACAACTTGGATTTGGAGAAGAGCTGCCTTGCATCCAGAGCCACCACTGTGGCTAAATGAGTCACTCATACACTCCCATTCCCACTTTTCTGATATTCTTCACAACTAACTGTGGTTAATCTAGTCCTGATTCAAGGAACTTAAGCTGAATTGGCCAGAGGGGTTTCCTGGAATACTTCAATTTTTCTTATAAAAGGAGAAAAATATAACTGATTTGGCTTATTCTATCTCTTACCTAGCTGAATGGGGATGAGTGACCACATGCCAGTGGAGAAGCAGAGGGTACAAAGAGCTTAGGTATCAGATCACTAATTACAAGAATCAGAAATGATAATGATCTACCCTTGGAATTTTTTGCATTCTGTGAAAAATAAACTCCCATTTGTTTAAACCACAGAAAATCAACTTATTGCCTTCAGCTAAATGCATTTCTAATAGAGCACTTACATACTTTTAGGTAGCACTTAAATAAAAATAACAGCTTTATTGAGACTTAATTCATGTATCATGAAAGTCACACTTTAAAGTATACCACTGAGTGGGTTTTAGTATATTCACAGGCTTGAGTGATCATTCCCAGTATCTCATTTTAGAGCATTTTCCTCATACAAAAGAGAAACTGTGTATCCATTAGCAATTACTCCAGAACTCCCATGCCCTTGTCCAGCCTCTGGCAACTGCTAATCTTTCTGTTTCTATAGATTTGCCCATTCCAGACATTTCATATGCTTGGAGTCACACAATATGTGGCCTTTTGTGTCTGTCCTCTTTCACTTGGCATGACATTTTCAAGGTTCAACCATGCTGGAGCATGCAGTAGTACTTTAATCCTTTTTATGGTCAAATAATAAAGCAGGAAAAATATATGACTTACTGATGTCAAGGGCTGTGTTCTCCCACCTCTCATATTCAAACAGGAGAAAGTTAGCAACAATTGCTCTTAAAAAATATTTATTTCATGGAGTTAACTATTAACATTAACATGTCAATCACCTAGAAAAAGATGTCACAGGAAAAAACCATGCAGCCTTAGCTTGAAGTAATTTTTTGTTGGTAGAGTTCAACTGCAAATGCACTTTAATAGAATCAACAGTAGTTTAATAACACAGTGCTCTAACAGTGGTCCTGAGTGTGTAACATATCTTAAGAAAGCCAGTGAGTCCACGGTTATTCACTAAAAAACACACAGAATCCATCAAGTTTCCATTTGGCAAGTTAGAACTTACAGTATGAAAGATGATCCTCCTTGCTCTATGTTATTGTTATTCCCCTTCGTTATTAATAAAGATAAAATCCAAAAGAGCTGACCTGAATATTTTAATTAGAATTTTGGAAGTTAAGTTCAACTTGCCTCAAGCTCCTTGACGAGTCTATTAGCTAGGTCAATGGTGTTGTTGGTTTGGTTCACCTCTTCTTGACACCGAACTTTCTCTGCTACTGCTTTTTCAAATGAAGCTGTGAGTCTGTTCAGGTTTCTATCAAGATCCTGAGAGTCAAAATTAAATCATGAATCATTTTTAATTAAAATAGACATATTATAGTCATCTTAAAACATCTATTACTTTACAATACATGAGATGAACCTCCTTCCCTCCTCTGACTTTTGGCATACTCATGTCATAGAAGAAGGCTCAGAGCTAGTAAAGGCATCACAACTGCTACACACTATCAGTCACCACGTGGTCTCCCACCTTCCATCTACACTGTGGGGGTGTGGGGAGGAGTGAACTGTGACGGAGGAATGGACAGACATGCTGTGTGGACTCAAACACATCTTGAGCACACTGTCCCAATCTCTTGCACCTAATGTTCATCCTCCAGTGCCAGCTTTATTAATGATAAGGGCCACTTTTCGGTTCTCCACCCATCAACTCTTCTTATTGGTCCATAACTCAGGCAATGAAGAAAAGTGATGGAGCCCATTTAGATTGTGGTAAGCTGAACTAGCTTAACCAATCAGAGTGACTCTTCTGGAAGTTTAGGGCTAAAACTCAAAGGTAAGTCATTGTCTTTAGCATTGAAAGATCTGGGAAGATGTGTGAATTCTGGAGGACTTAATTTAGTGAGGAACCATCTTCTAATTGGAACAGAGGGAACTATTATGGAGAGAGAGAAAGCATGAAAGGGACAATGAGAAGTCACACCACCCTAAGAGACACTCAAAGACATTCATGGCAGTTTCCTGCTTTCAGGATCTCTTTCCTCCTGAAACCTGGTTGCATTTTTTCTCCTTGGGTATCTGATCCACAAGTCTATGTCTTCTACCAGCATTTATGTAACTGTGGCAGATTATCCTGTTAGCTTGCTCAGAAGGTAAAATCTTGGTTTTTTCAAGTTCTTAATAGCTCCTGACCTCAGGTTCTAGAAGTAAGCAACGCGAGGAAGGGGGTTCCTCAGCCCAAGGACCCTAATTCAGTGGTTTTTAAGCTTCAGTGTGCATCAGAACCACCTGCAAGGCTTGGTAAAATCCAGACTCCTTAGTTACTCCCAACAGAGTTTCTCATTCAGTAGGTCTGCAAGTCTGTATTTCTAAACAGTTCCCAGGTGACCCAGATACTGCTGCTGGTCTAGGGAGCACAGCTGGAGCACCACTGTCCTACCCATTCTAGGGATTTTCTTTATGGCCATCCTCTGGTACTAGATGTTTGAGAAATATGACTTTTCTTCTTTCCCAGTTCAACAATTCCTTTTTTCACTCACCCTTCAATATGAGGCTATTAGATTGAAGCTAAAGATATAGACTTCAAAGAGCAAATGCAGACAGACCAAACCTGGTATGAATCAATTTCCACTGCAGCACAGTTGCTGAAACCAGACACACCCCCTACTTTGCTAGGTAACAGGAGGCATAAGATCCAGAGGAGAGAAACCCCATGAGGAGGAAAAGTGAGAGATTGGAGGAAATGAAGGCAAATTTAGCAAAAATTTTGTTTCTCTTGGGTTCAAACCTTGATTTGACTGTGTGCCAGCAGACAGCAGTGGTCAGAGGTACTCTTTTTTCAGCATGACCAGTCATACTGTATTCATGGAGAACTGAAACTTGGTGGGAACTATAGCCAGAGATTCTGATGCACAAATAACTACTCTCTGGAGCTTCATTCTTGGGTTCTTGGTAGGGGCCTTAAAGGACGAGTTCTTCATAGAACGAATTTGACTATTAAACTGTGGTGTTTCCCTCTGTACTTGCAAACTTAGTTCTGTAGTTTATTGATCTGCAAACCTAAACATTTATTGTGAGTCATACAAAGTAATCGATGTGAACTAGTGTTTTTTTGCTAGTTACTGGCTAGGTCCAAAAAAGTACTAACTCCGTAGCCAGAAAGTCTTAACTTATGGGTGACCTGTCTTGAGCAGATCTTGAGTATTTTTCAATAAATACAGTTGACCCTCTGTACCTGTAGGTTCCTCATTCACAGGTTCTACATGCTTCATGTTGGTGGATATTGGAGATCTATATTTTTTAAAGATTTATTTATTTATTCATAAAGAACTGGGGTCAGAGATGCAGAGGGTGGGAGGAGCCACCAGAGACTGACAAGAGTGGGGAGCAGAACAGGCCGACTGAAAAAGTACACTGCTGAGGGGAGCAGTGGGCGGGTCAGGAGAGGTCTGCCACGCCATGTGGTCACCTCCGGGGCAGGCGGGGATAGAATTCATGCAGAAGTGGCTTGAGCTTCTTAGTGCAGTGCTTTAACTTGCTGCGCCCCCAGGGAGAGCCAGAGATCATTTTTATAAGAGACTTGGAGTATTGAGGATTTTGGGATCTGAAAGAGTCCTGAAACCAACCAAGGGACCACTGAAATTAAGTTTTGGGGGACTCAAAATTTATAGTCAAATTTTTGAGTATATAGGGACTAGGGTTCCTAACCCCATGCTGTTTGAAGTTCAACTGTAAGGTATTTTTATTCTAAATTTATCTAACTCAACTGTTGCTTTTGTTACATTTCTTTTAGTAGCTGTCAGGTATTTACTGAACTGTATGCTGGGTGCTGTAATAGGAATATGTGCTAGCTGGACAGACAGGTAGGGGTGGTCAAGTCAGCTGGGTGGAAGAGATGGTTGAGAATGTCTACTAGAGGAAGTGGTCTTGGAAGATGAGGGGCTGTAAAGTATTGTAAGAGATGCTGACATTTTACACTTCCTAAGGAGAAACTTTTAAGGTTATCAACCACCTTACTAAAATACTTATCATGAAAAAGATGTCTTATAATTAGTAAACAGTTATGAGGAAACAATCCCTTTCTGGTAGATAAAAGGAGACTTGCCCTGGGTGCTGCTCTGGAAAATGACCTCATTTTTCTTTCAGGAACCTGCCAGGAAATCTGGGAGGCACTCTCTAATGGAAAGTGATCTCTCCCCTGCACCCCACCTTTTTTTTTTTTGCCAAATTAACTGGTTGTAGCCCCAGATGCTGAACCAGATACACCCCTAGTTCAAGCCCTGCTCTATAGAAAGCCTGGCAGCTTCATGGCCACTGTAAGCACCAGAGATCAGAGAGGTTGCTCAGTTCCTTGCTCAGTAGCCCTGGGCAGGATTTACTCTGAGGCAGGAACATCCTCCCTGAGGGTCCTGATCTCTCTACACACATGATCTTCATACTGGTAACTCCCACATCTACACTACTGAGCCAGGTCTCTCTCTCTCCAACGCCAGTTCTGTCTCCTAAACACCTACACCTAGGTTTTCTACAAGAAAAGAGAGCAGATTAACATTTAGGAAGCACTTACTGTGTACTTGCAATCTGAATACATCATGATTTATGCAATGGAATTAACTTCTAGCTAGTTTAAGCTGAAGGGAATTTCTTGGAAATTGGGGCTTGGAGTGGGAAATCCTTGAGGGAATAAGAAAAGGTGAAGAACCACACACAAGCATCAGTGTTTGGGAGCAGGAACTGTTAACAGTCTCATCTGGACACTGACACTAGACCACAAGAACTTTGCTTTCAGTCATTTTGCGTGTGCTTTTTTTGTCTTTTTTTTTTTTTGCTATGATTCAAATTCTAGTATAAAGTAGGCTCAACTTATCATCTAACTAATCTTTGGCAAGGAAAGGCAAGGACTCCAACACCCAAAGCCCCACCTGAGTATCTCCAAGAAGAAGAGATCATTAATTCTGCTAAGATAAAACAGGCTTTTATCACCCAAAGAAGGTAGGCTGCAGGCTAGGGAGCTAAAGATGACAAACGCTGACCTTGAGAGGCAGATGTTATTATCACTATGTTGCAGAGAAGAAACCAAAACTCCTAAGGTTTTCCTATACTGCCAAGGTTACACAGCCTCAGCATTCCAATAGCATCATACCACATTCTCAGACACCTCAAACTCAGGGTCTCTGTGTGCCCCACTCTCCAGTTCACTGTCTCTGTCAGTGCTCTACAACCACCACGCCCTGTCTTCCCCAGCTGCTCATGCCTTAGCTCCAAGGCCTCACAGGACTGACTATGTGTCCTGTCACTTGTCTTTCTCCATCTAGACTCTTCCCTCTTCCAGCGTCCATTTGGTTGCTGAAAAGCTAGTTTGAACATATTAACCTACTAACATCTTTCAAAGACTCAATATCACTAGCCCAATACAATTTAAATCCTGTAACATGAAAGGCAAAGGCTTATGTTCAACTTTGCAAGTTCTTATTTCTTTACCTCCTGCTATCCCTAGCCTTCCCCAATTGGGGGTCCGCTAATCCTAAGTGACCTGTTAGGCCAACATTTTGCCATGCATTGTCTAGCCTGCTCCGTGCCTCCCATTTTCTTATTAGTGTGGTGTTGCCCACATAACACCCAACACTCATCTAGAGGTCTGGCCTGCTGAGATGCTTCAAGTGTGCCAACTGTTTCTTCTCTTTTTTCTTTATTCGCTGTCAAAAATACTGTTCCCAATCTATTCTAGCTATTTCCAGGCCAAGCAAGAATCCACATCAAGTTACTTTCTTTCACTATAAAACTTTCCCTAATTTCTCCAGGCCTTTTTGACATTGTTTCCAATACTCTCTCTCTCTCTCATTCACACACACACACACACCATCACAGATATACTTAGAACAATGGACTAGACTGAGCTATATACATTTGTGAAAACAGTAATATTTTTAGCTAATGGTCCCCAAGTACTTACAATGTGCTAGAAACGCAGCCATTCATGTGAATTACTCTCACTTAATCCTTAAAATCTTACCTAAGAAATGCTTGTTATTTTAGTATTTACCATACAAAGAGGAATCAGGTCAATAGCTTGTGCAGAGTAAAATAGTAAACAGTGGAGCCAGGATAAAAGCCAACCACCTAGATCCAGTAGCCTTACTTTGAATCTGTTATCGACCTTCTTCAACTACCAGACCATTCAAAGTTTAAGTAAACCATGGAAGTTTCCAACTTTCCAGTTCAGAGTCTAGCATACAACAGATTAAAAACATCTACCAAATGAGAACATAAATGCATATGTGCATGAAATATCACATTCTTTTGTATTCGATAGTGCTCAGGTATGGCCTGGTCTGAAAGTAAAAATCTAAAAATAAAGGGGGTGGAGGTTGGCCCAACTCTTGGGAACTTCTTTACTGTCATACTTTGCACTCACCTCAAGTTTCTTCCTGATAGCCTCTAATTTTTCGGTAGCTGCAGTCAAATCTAAGTTCGCCTGGGCTAATGCTTGGCGCTTGGGCTCCACATCACAGTACACCTGAAAATCCATGTGGGGTTTGATTCATGAGACAATAAGGATGCAAAGCGAACAGACAATCATTCCATCTGGTATCTGATGGAAGCTTCACATTTAAACTATCTAATTCATGTAGTAATTTCTTGTTTCTTAACAATGGCACTACCTAAGAGCAGAGCCAAAATCCACAGAACTTCCCAAGCCCTTTCTGCACATCCATCATTGACTCCTTTATTCTGGACACCAGCATTGCAGTTATGTACATATAATGCTAATAGGTCAAACAACATTAAGATTTTAAAATTAGTTTGTCATAAAATTTGTATTCAATCCTCTAGTTACCAGTAATTGTATTATGTAGGAACTAAGGCTAAAGTTGTCACTGGGACTATCCTCTAAGGTGGAAAATCAGGTGGAGAAATTCTCTGAACTCAGAACACCCTCACACAGCATTAACCATGCTTCAAATTCACTCTGTTTTTTCTTGCTAAGTTCCTGGTCGCCTCGGTTGTGTGTTAATTTGAATGGGTGATTTGATAGTTTGGATGTATCAATTTCTGTCCTGTTGGGGAGCAAGGAAGGAAATTAAACTTTATTGCCTATTTTATAGCAAACAGCACAGAACACAGCCAGTCTGCTGCCCTGCTTATCTTTTCATGTACAGTGCAAACAGAGCAGAGTGAGCACTGTCTTACGGGGGATGTCACGCACCAACTGCAGTCTGTCCAAACTGACTCTGCAAGGAATTCCAATAAAGTCAGAGAAAGACCAACAGGGCTTTATTCCTGTGGATTTCCCTGTGAAAAGGATATAACCCACTTTATAAAAATCATTTGGAGAATGAAATGAACTATGCTTGGGATAGTCAGCAATTCTGTATGTGAATCCAACAGAACAGCATTCCAAGACAAAAATGTTCTTCTGCATTAAGGACCATGCATTATTCCCTTGATACATTCAGAGTGTGTAACAGTTTGCAGAAAATAACATTTGATAAATAAATGACTAAACAAAATGTTAACCTGTCTCTGCACTAATTGGAAGTACAATGAGTCTAAACTGTGTAGAGGCAAACAATTATCATTAAAATATTAATGTAAAAATAAACCAAAAAGTTTCTTCTTTATCTCAAGTTGAATTTTTTGCTTTGTGGAGAGGGATTAAGTTTCATTAAACAAGAATTTGTACTTGCAATTATTTCAAGTCAAAATAAAATTAGTATTTTGATGTAGTTAACCCATACAAGTTTTTACTGAATCAAGATCTAAGATGTTCACTCTACCCTAAAAAAGTTTCCATCATTTCAAATATCCTCCTCGTATATGTCTCTTTAATCTGACATATTTATGTCTCTTTCTTAGAACTATCTTATTAAAAAAATTAAATGTCAAATTAACATTTTTGCTGGCATAGAAATTAATGTTTATGACCCTTTGTGAAAAAACACGTGTAAAACCATTAGATTATGACTGGTACCTCGTAGAATTTAATAATGTTGATGACCCAAGCACAAAGACCAGCTGCTGCAAAAGATTTGGTCCGAATCAAGTTTGGGTTGAACTCTGGATCTTTCAAATACTGCTCATTCACCACTTTCAGACAGTTTTCTGGAATGTGCTCTTTGTCATAGTTAATTAATGCTTGCAAAAAGTCATCAACCTATAAAGCAAAAAGACTTATTGCAATGAACCCCTTTTGGCTGCAGAGAAAATTCCATGATCAAAAATTAAAATCAGCTTTTAGGACTCACATCACAAAGGGAAAATTGGCAAGCTACACTTATCCTACTGTTTGACTTTTTTGGTCTTTAGAGTATGAAGTTAGAATTAGCAATGGACACTTTTAAAATATCTTCTATCCCAGAGTAAAATATTCAGTCCTTCACAGGAGGCATTCACATTTTGAAGAAAAGCAGAAAAGAAACACACACATGCACACACATACCCAAAAGCCCCTTTGCTACACCTTCTTGTACATTAGTAACATTTTTCTACTATAAGAAATCCATGTAATTTTCTCCCTCCTACACTTAACTGCTTCCATAATTTTGCAAATAATTAGCAATCTTCCAAGGACTGCTGCTGTTGACCTAGGTATGTCGTAACCCCAAGCTAACTCCAACTTGGCAAACAAAAATTTTAAGTCTGGAGAACATAGGGTAGATTACTCCTAGGGAATATGACTTTTTTTTATTTGAACACCTTTTGCTGTCATCTATAAGCAGGACAGTAGTGAAGTTGTCAGGATGTTCATCTTGACATGATGTCTGATACCTTTCCCATGAAGACTTTAGCTGCTTTCCAACTACGGTCTTTTGGCACTCTGCCCTGGGGAGCCAGAAGGACCATCACAGCTGCAGTAACATTGGTAACTGCATTTGGGGGGTTGGGGAAGACTTTCAGCTCAGTGAGATTGACCTAGGGAGAAACACAGGAAAGGTCTGGAGAAGGCTGCGTTAAGCTGGTTTTCATCCTCCCTCCCACCTTGCTGTTTCACAAGCAACAGCTCAGTGTGGCAGTCTTCCCCTCCCACCCAGGGATTCCTCCTGGCACTCTTGGAGAGACAGTTTGTGCAGGTCACTTTTGTGATGCTCTCAAACATCACTGCCCTGGTTGTAATCTCTAGAAAATATGACTAGGTGGTAAACATTCCTGCTCACTGAATTCAGGGAGTTTTAGAAACAGGTATTTTAAGGAGTTATGGGATCTGTTTCATCTACATAATTTATTAGCATTTTGACTCTTCTGGAAATTGTTCAACAGTGTTTCTTAGCTCTGTTTTTCTGCTCTACATGCACAAGAAACACTACAGTTCTCAACATACAAATGACACCTACTTGTTGCCCTACTCCTCTTTCCTTTCAGGTGAGAATCTTAATTTACCCACCAGGGCAGGGAAGTATCAGGACAAATACTTTTGGGCAGGAGTTAGCACCCATAAGAAGTACACATGGGTTCATGATCGTGATTGAAAAAAAAAGTATTTCCTGTGATATTTTATAACTGTGTAATATACTCTTACTTATAATACCTTATCAAATATTGAACCTAATTCTGTGGCATTAACACAAGCTTCCAATTTATTTGGGGAATAACTGCAAACAATGACAAGGGTATTGAAATAAGAGCAAAAGCAATGACAAAATGTATTAATGATGCTGAGGGCTCCCTAACCAAGATTCTTTTGTTACACATAAATATCATTTATAAATCAACTTCATTCTCTTAGTGTCAATGAACATCTGATGCTGCTAACTAGTGTTCAATATCATTCTTACTGCCGCAGAGTATTTAAATGCACACCCTTGGTATATTTATGTTCTTTTAAACTTTCAATTTTATATTAACACTGTAAGAAATATCCATGTGGTTAACTCTTTGCTCATGGTCAAAATACTTAAAAAATAGATGGAATATTTCTTTGAAGAGCAGGAAAGTCTAAATCCTTTACTCATTGGAGTTTAATCATAAGGACCTTAGATCTAGAGATTCCCTGGGATTCTCACCAGAGGCCTAGAGAAACCTGAGAATAAGACTAGTGGCACGCTATTAAAATAGAATTGCCCACAATTCTACTGTCCCATATGACATCCTTTTGGTGATAATGTTATTTTATCTTATGGGAATCTGAATATACTCAATGAGGTTTTACTAGTATGTTGGAGTCATCTTCTTTGGGAGTCTCCCCAATGCCCGGACCATGCCAAAAGACAGCATTGGTTGATTGGCCTACGTCACTAGTAGTCTGAAGCTAGAAAATATGGGGCAGGACAAACCAAGGTATTTTTGTTCCCAGACATGGGAAGAAATAAAGTTCTTAAGGCAACACATAATAGGAATAATTGGATTTGAATCCAACTCAATTGCTAACAACAGACTTGCCTTTCATTCAACTCTAAAGCCCCTGGGGTGGGGTATATTCAAAAGGAGGCTGCTTGCTGGGTGTGCCAGGACAGGCTGCAGGAAGGTAAAGGAGTTTGACGGTCATGACAACGTTCCTGGTTTGCTCCAATTTCTGTATGTTATGGGTCTTTTTTTTTTTTATAACAGTTTATTTTTACATCATTTTGTACATTTTTTTTTCATCTCAATTGGAATCCCCACGGGTTTCCCATCACCAAGTCACCGTGTGCCATCACTATAATCCCATGCACGTCCCTCCCCATCCACCCCCCGTTTTTGATCCCATTCCCCACTCCACCCCCACAAAATGTCTCTGGGATATGACTGTTCATTATTCTTATTATTTTCTATGAGTGAAACCATCCAGTATTTTTCTTTCTCTTTCTGGCTTATCTCACTAAGCATGATCTTTTCCAGCTCCATCCAAGTTGCTGCAAAAGACATGTGTTTCTCTTTTTTGGTTGCTGAGTAATATTCCATTGTATACATATACCACATCTTTTTAATCCAGTCATCTACTTTTGGGCATTTGGGCTGCTTCTATGTTTTTTCCAATTGTAAATAAAACAGCAATAAACATGGGGGTACAGGTATCCTTTTCAATCAGTGTTTTTGTGTCTTTTGGGTAGATACCTAGGAGTGGGATTGTTGGGTCGTAGGGAAGCTCCATGTCTTTCTTTCTTTTTAAAGAAGCTTTTAGGTTGGATGGACTTTATCCTCAGTTATTCAAACTCAACCTTAAATCTAATTTTGAGGAAACCCCAGGAGCCACAAGGTTATCTTTACCCGGTTGAGTGTGTTGAGTGCGGCTGTGGCAGCTACCAGCGCAGGCTCGGCCTTGAGTAAGTCAGATTCACACTCCCTTTGTTTCTGGGACACTTCAGTCTGGATGGCAGTCACCTAGCCCAAGAGGAAAGGCACACATCGTTGATGTCTCTACTGAAAAATGCCAGCAACTCAGAAGTACCGCTCAATAATTCATCTGTCCATACTTTGAACAGGTGAAGAATTTGTGGGAAAGGCTACTTTCCCTTCAGTCATCATGTCTATGAAAGCTGATATTTGCTCAAAATACACAATCACAAATCCCAACACATACATATTCAAACAGCAAAATATTCCAAGTAGGTCTTTCACTAATAAGTTGCCACCAGAAAAAAAGGCAAAACATCATGCAATTTTTCTGTTCTTTAAATTGAACACCATCTAGTCTCCTGGACAAGTAAAAAGCCATGCTGGCTTAGTAACCTAGGTCACAAAATAATCTTGCTAAAATTCTCTAATTTTTGCTAGCATCAGCCTAATTGACATGTTGGCTAGCTTTTAAGCTTTTTGGTTCAACTGGCTTAAAGACACTATTCTAATCTGTGTATGTTTAACAATATACAAATTTAAATTTTTTTTTAAGATTTATTTATTTATGCATACTGAACTGGGGTATAGGCCAGAGGTGTAGGGGTGGTGAGAGGATTCACCAGAGACAGAGTGGGGAGCAGAACAAGCAGATCATGAAATACACTGCTGAAGGGAGCAGCAGGTGAGACAGGAGAGGTCTGCTGGCTGGGGATCGAACTGGTGCTGAAGCAGTGGCTAGCTTCATAGTGCTGTACTTTAACCCATTGTGCCACCAGAGAGGACCCCTAAATCTTCTTTTTAATGAGTTTTGAATTTCATTGAAGTAACACTGCAGTGTAACATAAGCTGCAGGTGTGCATCGAGAATCAACATATGTACAGATTACCTCAGTTTGGCTGCTAAGCATCCAGCTCTATCCTTCATCATATTTGCTCTCTTTGTCCTGGTTTACTCGCTTTCCCTTTCAGCAACCACTAAATAGTCTTACAGTCAAGATTTTAATTTCATTTTACTTTGCTCGTGCATCTTCTCTACGTACCACATTTAAGCAAATCACACAGGGACCTCTACCTGTGTCTACCTTTTGACTAAGCAGAACCCCTTCAAGATCCGTCCAGGTCACTGAATGGCAGATTTCAGCCTTTTTAAAGAGTTGAACAGTATCTGCTCTGTATATATTCTGCAGCTTTTGTATCCATTTTTCAATGGGCACTTAGGTTGTTCCAACTTTTGGTCATTGTAAATAATGCTGCAGTAAACATGGGGATGCCTAGGCCTCTTCAAATTAGGTTATAATTGGCTCACAATGCATGTCCTTGGAAGTTTTAAAGATTACTGGTTTCACAAGGGAGCGGTAAAAACCTATAGCTACAATAGTAAGGTGTGCCCTCAGCTATGGAACAGTGATATCTGATGTCCCCTCGGCTGTTGAGAGTCAAGTGCACACTTCACAACCAGAGCGGTTGTTCATCAGTTTCCTGACAAGAACACATGCACTACAAATAGAAGGAAGCATGTGAATTTTTTACTTCTTGGTACAAATTTGAGTTTCTAAGCTGTGGCATTGGGCAGCAGGATCGACTCATGGCAAGGGATGGTTCCCGTGTGATGGTGATTATGGAACATTAGCATGGAGAAAAGATGTCTTTGGAATGAACAGGTTTCACTATACCATAAAGTAGAGGACTGATCACAACAAATTATGCTGTCTGCTACAGCTTTATTAGCAGTAATTATCCTTTTCCTGTGTAACTATTATGTTGCTATATGAACATAATTATCTCAGGTTATATAGCACATACCCAGCTACTATTTAGATAAGTAAGAGAACCCATATGCTCATTGAAACCTGCTCCAAAACCAAAACCCTCAAAATTTCCAGGAATGGACCATAAAAATCATACAGAAACCTTTCCAGGGTGCTAGCGTATACACCTTTCCAGACAAAAGAGTATGCATAAGTGAGTGACATTTTTGTACCTTTGGTTTATTCCCCCCTCCCATAAGGATATAATGAAACTGTAAGTGCTCCTTGTAACCATATACAATAACATCATTTGAAACTAGACTCAAGGTCATAGATTTTAAAAGAAACCTTTAAGTGTTTCCCTTAAGTGCTATCTTATGTGACTGGGAGTTGCTAATGTCTCTTGATCCCTTAACTTTTAATGGAGTATTATTCCTTTGAGTAACTTTTATAAACACAGAAATCTTAAACATTAAATACAAGGAATACGTGCAAAAAAGAAAAAGAAAAACAGTGCAGGTTGATCTACTTAACTCATTCACAGTATCTATTGTCCTGACATGCAGAAGAAGTTAGTGACTAGAAGTTAGTGAAGTTGTAGAAGTTAGTGACTTGGCAAGCATCAGTGTGCAGTTTGCTCTGCCCTGGGACTTCCCTGGGAATGGCTAGCAAGGTCAGCCTGAAGCAGAGGGATGAGTCATTGATGGCTCATGTGTCAGCTAATGTAGAGATTCAGAGCTCACCTCATTGTGGATACACTAGACCTTACCTATACTTTGTTAGTCAAAAGCTCCTTGCAAATGGTTCATGAAATCTAGTGGTAGTCACATAGAAAGAATAGAGTCTCAATAACTGTTATCAACCCTATTAATGTAATTGTGTCCACCCCAATTCATTTGTTAAAGCCTAATCCCCAGTACCTCAGAATGTGACTAACTTGGACATCTAGACTTTAAAGATAAAGTAAATTGGTTAGGATGAGCCCTAATCCAATATAACCAGTGTTCTTAAAAGAAGAAGACATTTGGACACTGAGCCACCACAGGCATGTGTGCACAGGAGAGGGGCTGGACCGCGCAGCAAGCCAGCAGTCAACTGCAAGTAAGGGGGAGACCTTGGAGAGGGGGAGAAGGGGAGGCAAATGTGCAACGTTCTTAGACTTCCAGCCTCTAGGCCTGGGCGATAACACATTTCTGTTACTTAACCCTCCCTTGTTGTGTCAATTTGTTTTGACTTAACTAGCCAGCTAATACACTGCTCTTACCTGGCCCCAGACTTTAAGAAATCATTCTGGGTGGTGGAGGAAGTCAAAGAGTACAAACTTCCATTTGTAAAATAAACACAAAATGAGTGCAGTATGACACTGTCATTAACAATGTTGACCTACAGATTTGAAAGTTGCTAAGGGAAACCTTAACCACTTAACCATTCTAATCACAAGAAAACCAGTTTTTGTGGTGACTGATGATGTTAAGTATACTATTTTGTTGCTCATTTGGCAATATAAAAAAAGTGTCAAATATTATGTTGTATACCTGAAACTATGTTAAATATAACTCACAAAGAAACATGGCAATTAAAAGAAGAAAAAAGACATTCCCATGGTCCTCCAAAGTCCAGTCATATCACATTTAGAAAAGAAACACATGGAAAAACCAAAGGCCATCCAGAAATCAAGGGATTGTATTAGGCCTACAATTTAGAAAGTACTTCCGTCATGAGGATTCCATCTTGCTCAACAATAAAAGCAGTTTGAAAGGATGCTTACAGCCCTAGAGCTGATGACTTGAAGACTGAAGGACTAATTTTTACAGACTAATTGTACTTGTGTTATCTGAAGTCACTGTCAGCAATGCTAGTGGTTTAAAAGGTTCTTGATTATTTTATGAATTTGAAGCAACTATTTCAACCTGCTCCTGAAAATGTGGTATCAAGATGCTCAACATGGCAGTCTCTAAAACTCTAGTATTTATTTAGTCATATCAAAGCACTTTGTAAGTTAAGAAGCACACTCTTCAATTACTTCTCATGCATTAAACCTTGAGACCCTAATTTCACCGACACATGGGGATGTGTATGGGCTCACAGAGGCCACATATACCCCATTTGAGTAACTGCACAGAATCATATATAGTCATATGAAACTGAGTTAGGAATTAGAGGTCCACTAGACATGCTAAATGTACCTTATTTTTCAATTTCATGTATGGGGAGCCCATACACATCTCCACATGTCAATAAATGACTTTCCCCTCTACAGACCTTCCCTCTATGGCCACCTAACTTAAAATAATTCCTTCTAGAATTGGACTTTCAGTGGTGAATTTAGCATATTATGTGCAGATGCTTTATGATGATGCACACCTGAAACATTAAAAAGCAATACTACTTAAATAAAAATATATAAAAATAGATTTTTGTTCCTTCTATACTATTTTTTAATCAAAATCCGTATGAATAATATTTTTTTTCTATCAACATGATACATGTCCCCTGTCACTCTTCATTATAACATGAGCTACATGAGGGTACCTGGCACATATTATCTCTCCAAGAGTCTAAAATAGTGTTTGACAAAAAAAAAGGTATTCAATTGTTATTTATAATTAAGCCTCACTAGAAAATGGGACTGTTTATAAGTATTTTTATTCTTGATATGAATTGAAAATAAAAAAATAGCATGTATCTTTTCATGTTTGAAGAACTTTGTGGAAAAAAAACCTGTCAGAGTGAGTTCTAATTTACTACAGTCTCTCTTCCCTTTGTGAGGTTAATTTTGCTTTAGGAATTTACATGCAAAAATATCTTTAAAGTAATTTTAAGATGTCTGAAAAGTAGCTTGCCCAGAGAGATTATGGTATAACAACTACTAAAAATCACACATTTGTATATTGCCTGAGAAAGTGTCCAAAGTAGCTATGATAATCTACTATTGCTACCCATTGCTTAACACTGTAACTTACTTTTAAAGGCATCCTCCACTTAGCTGAAAACTCAATAGAAACTGAGTTAGGAATTAGCTATCCATTGGACATTTAGCATGTCCAATGAATTTTTCAATTTAAAAAATTGGAAAGGAAAACTGCACCCCTACACTTATAGCAGCACTATTTATAACAGTTAAAATCTGGAAACCCAAATGCCCAAGAACAGGTGAGTGAATCAGAAAGATGTGATATATTGGCACAATGGAATATTAGCAACAGGGATGAAACTGTAAGGAACTATCAATGTGTTAAATGAAATAAGCCAGAAGAAGAAAGATAAATACCAGATAATTTCACATATAGGTGGAATATGGAGAAGTCAAAGGATGAGAGAAATACAAACTTTAAAACTGACACCTGAAAGCAAACCATATAGATCTGAGGCATCCAGGAGGGGAAGAGAAGGGAAAGAGGTGAAAATGATGGGGAGATAAGGAGTGCAACGAGGACTATGGGGGAGGACCATGGGTGTTGGTGGTGGGAAAACTATGGTAACCACACCTGAAGGGAGAAATCCCATATTGTTAAAAAAGCAATTAAGGATATAAAATAGATATATAATTAATGAAAAAAAATACTAAAAATGTAAAAAGAAATTTTTTTCATAACTGATTTAGAATTTTGATTTAAAAAATATTTTTCAGGTTTTTAATTGTGTAAGCTAAAGCAAATCTGCTCAAAATATATTTGAAAAGAAAAACATCTCTATTGTCTATAAATGAATGGTGACATCACAAGAAAAATATATTTTCTGGTATATAAAATGCAGAGGTAATGGTATGATGATGATGAAATCAATGACTAAAGAGTATTAGCAATTTATAATTTTTAAAAATTAACTAAATTGTGGTTATAATCTCTTCTCTAAAACAGAAGTTGTCTCACAAATACACATTCACTGAATTTTTAAGCAAATATTTGTTAAAACACTGTCTATGAAATTTCTTTCAAGAAATAAAAATACACATAGAAAAGAACACCTTCCACTATTTGTTGCAGAAATTGTAGTAAAAGAAGATGACAAAAGAAGTTACACATTTATATCAAAATAGTTGGAAACCTGAGTACAAAGAAAGTGAATCTATAAAATTGGAAAAGCAATTGTTTCCAACAATAAAATATAATACAGAATGCCAGGGCCCCCACTGAATCAAAAAGAACAAATTTTGCTTAGGATTTAATAATAAACTCAAGTTGTATTATTAAAATGCAAAATTTGAAAACCATCTTGCAGAATGCCAGAATGGGCTTTGTTAACAATTGAGTTGTTCAATTTGCCTAAAAACTAAAAACCTTTAGAAACCTCAGAGGTGACTTCATGACCTTTACTGTATTACAAATAGGCCTGATGTTCAAGATCCACATCCATTATATGCTTGAATGAGCTCAGTATTTATTGTTCTTTCATATCATTAAAAGAGCTAAAAGGTTGGGAAAATGCATAATGTAAAGAAAGGTCAAGTGGTAATCATGGTGTGAAATGCTGTTACATGTGTAACTATAATAATTCTTTAGATTTTATGTTCCCTGGAGAGGAAGTTGTTCAAAATTGTTCACCTACAAAGGTTTATTTTGTGCTAAATATAGCTCAGCACTCTAAATGGTGGAATTAGCCTGACCTTTCGCTCCTCTGCATCGGCGATGGCCTTTTCCCGGCTCACTTTCTCTGTCTGAAGCCCAATCTTTGCGATCAGAGCTTCCGTATCATGATTTCTCAGTTGCAACTCAGCTTCTTGAGAGGCAAGTCTGGCTTTTAGATCTCCCACCTAAAGGAAAAGCATGATTTTGAAGTCACTTGTCTTGATAATAACAAATAGAAGGTGCAGCTTATATTTGAACACGAATCCAGAGATCCTAAACAGTTTGCATTTTTAAAAATCCTTTCTACTGTAATTTGGCCCAATCCCATGTGTAAAAAGGCAGGCCCATTTTCCCCACTGTTTAGGAGTAAAGTTTTCCATAAAATAAAGTATATTCAGCAGCAACTGTAACAGAAGTTTATTTTCTCAATCTTTCCTGTTGGGAAGTACCCACATGGGTCCCCACCACTGGTGATGGGTCTCCTGCTTTTCTGGTCTCATGCAACTCGGGCTCAAGGTAGCAGAGGCCTTAGGAAGATGTGTGTGGTGACAAGCTGGAAAAAGCAGGCCTTGCACACTGCAGCAGGAAATTGCTAGAAGGGTCACAAAAGATGAAGCCATCAGGATCCGTTGGCTGTTACCCCTTTACTTGGTCAATTGCTTATTTTGATTAAAATGTTCACACAGATAGCTCTTACCTTTTCCCACAAACCATGAAATGGCTTCCCCAAGTTTTTCATCTCACATAACATTCCACTTAAGACCTAACCAAGAAGGGCAAACCACCAGTGCCTTGTGTGTATTAGAACAGTGAGGTCAAAAGTTCAAGAACAGCCCTATGTTCCTAGTGTGTATCCTAGAAAAGAGCCCTAGAAGGCCCTTCTTGGCTTAAATAACTTCACTCAGTTCTTGTGAAACTCAAGTCTGTGGAGTCATCAACAAATTAATCGTCTAAAAATAAGAATCATTTTAAAGTGGGGAGTTGATGAGATTCCGAAGATCTGCTAGGTTCCTATATTTAAGAATCATGTAAACAAAAGCAAGGAAAAATACTGGAGAGAAAGACATGACTCGTCTTACAGAAACATAGGAAGGCAAATTTACACATCGTGATAATTAAACTCCTCAATTCTACTTATTTTCCTGAATTATAAATATTAATTTTTAAAAAATCATACAATTAAGAGTAATTCCAACCATTAATTTTAGTGAGCAGCTAGAGGCACTTCAATGGTTCCATCTTGTGGACCAAGACCCCACTACAATATTCAAGTGACCCTGTGATGCCTTTCCTCTCTCCCCATAGTTTATTCATGTTCTACATAAATGGCATGATTATTACTATGACTGCTATCTGACCTGTTATAGTTTAAGCTAAGACTGATTTTTCAGCCTCTCTATGAACTCAGAGTAACACTGCACGTGACATTTGCTTCTCTGCTCCTTTTAAGCTATGTGAAAATTGTCATATGTTAGGCCATAACCAGAAGAATCATCTAAGAGACTTGGAGGAAACTATTTTGAGCCCCAATTTCAGTTTCTAAGGAAGCTATTAGGTCTGAAATATTCATTGCCCCTAGCCCTGGATTCAAGGCCTCATAGATGAAGGTCACTATAATGACCTATGTCCATCCAGAAAGGCAAAATGTGGCTATAAAAAGGTTTACAGCACTATTGCAAGGAGTGACTGCAAAGTGTAGGCACTGATATTTCAAATTGTATACATAGGTGTCTATATGGAGTTGCCTAAGGCAAACCTGTAAAGGACTCAGCTCTAGAGGACAAGCATTTATTTTCCTTGCACCCCAGTATGATACTGGAGGGCTTTCCAGTTGTACACACAGGAAATCATGCTACCTTTTCATAGTGAATTGTTTTCAAAAATTCTTAAGGAGCTATGAAATATTCCAACCTTTCTTCTGACATTAAGCACACTGCAAGCAGGAACTCCTAATGAAAAGAAAGCACCAGTTGTCCTCAGTTTAGGTTTTTTGGATCTTTTTCTCAGACTTTCTGCCTCTTGTTTCTAGTTGAGGGGAAGTAAGGAAACCCCAAACAGCCCAGAAGCCGTGGGCTGTCTATCCCATTCTTTCCTCTTCCCCCCAACTCCTCTCCCCCTGGTATCAACAGGTAAGTAAGAAGGTTATTAGGGAACTGCATGCTCTCTTCACACCTAATGCCACTGGTATGAACTGAGGTGTTACTCCACATTTGGAAAGCTCCATCATTTGAAAAGAAAATAGAACTGTGACAGTAACTATTTTTTCTGTGCCAGTACTGCCCTGCCAGCTTGGATGCAAACACAATAGGCTCTGTTCAGAGCCTCAATCAAATGGACAAAGTTCTGAGACACAGATCTTCACTCATCTTTGAGCTCAATGGAAATCTAGGAAAGTTGTTTAGTAGGGAAAAAGATGTTGATTTTAAAAATATGGAATTTGGCAGGAAGAGAGGGAAAAAGAGATAGAGTATAAAGATAAAATATATATTAAAAGAAGAGTAATGACAGATATTCTTTGAAAGAAAAGATGTGCAAACACAAACTTACACTTACAAAGGCTCTCAGCAACTGGACTACACATCAATCTAAAAAATTGTCCCAGTGGCCCTCCCTGGTGGCGCAGCGGGTTAAAGCGCAGCACTGAGAATCTGAAGCCACTTCCGCATGAGTTCGATTCCCGCCTGCCGCCTGCCCCGGAGGAGACCACATGGCGAGCCAGACCTCTCCTGGCCCGCCCGCTGCTTCCCTCAGCAGTGTACTTCGTCAATCTGCCTGTTCTGCTCCCCACTCTGTCTCTGGTGAAGCCTCTCACCGCCCCTGAGCCTCTGGCCTGTACCCCAGTTCTGTATGAATAAATAAATAAATCTTTAAAAAAAAAAAAAAATTGTCCCAGAAACCTCACCCCGATTTCTTCCTCACAGCCACAGATCAGTGTTTCCCCAAGAAGCCAGGCCTTGTGGATGAAACTACGGGGAGAGAAGCAAGCAGCATTCTGGCTGAGAGAAGGTTTAAAGGACATGACCGCAGAGCACTGCATGAAAAGGTGCCAGCAAATGGTCCCTCAGCTGAATCTGATGTTTTTCTAAGTCCACAGAGATGGGCCACTGAGCTGGCTTGGTAAAAAATTGGCTCAGATATGACCTGACAGACCAAGAAGATTCTGAAGAAGCCCTTGACCTTCAGTGGCCATCAGTGAGAATTTTCTTCCTCTAGTTCTAGGGCCCAGCTGGTTCAGAGAAAGGTTGACTCATTCTCCAAAGTCTTCATACTTTTCCATTCTAATGTGTTTTCCTTAGCCAGAGCAAGGCAGTATTTGACCGTGGATGAATAAAACAGATCTTGGTGTGAACCCCATCCTCATTGACACTGTGACCTAAAACCCATTAGATGCCACATTTACAATGTTAGTGGCAACATCTATTTCATAAACTTGTTTCAACAGTGAAATTAGATGACATGTGTACAGACCCACACATGATGAAGATCCTATACCAATTCTCTAGACTTAACCCTGGAGGTTAGAGGCCTGTCCTTCAAGGTAACAGGAGGCTTTCTGAACAGAGCTGGAGGCAGCCCTGGGTTCTTTTACCTAGGAGGAAGGGTAGTTAAAAAGGCATAAACAGATACCAAGTTCAGAGAGAATACTGTACACAAAGGGCCCCAAATAACAGCAAACCTTATCAGGAAATGATGCCCTCACTGGGAAGGTTGAGAATCTGAGGTCAAAGCGATCCAAATTCCATCCTCAGGCGCTAAAACTCAGGGCAGTGAGAGACAAGCTGGGGATCCAGCAGTGCCTGCCACTCCCACATCTCTGTGCTGCCCAGCCAAGCCAGGCCAACAAGGCAGGTCTGTCTCCAAACCAGCTGTGAGAATAACTGGCCAATCCTCCCCAAGCTTGGAAAAGGAACAGTGTGTTCTTTGTGTCATTAAACTGTAAATTTTGGCACCAGGCATCTTGTATAGGTGATCTAAAATATTGCTTCAAAAGAATTTTAAAAGGGTACATTTCACTCAGTAATAACACATCATAGTCATACCTGAGAGGTTGTAGTTTTTAGCTTCTGGATTCCATTCACCAAGTGTTCTTTCTTCTGTGATATCTCTTCTTGTTTCTTCTTTAACAGGTTCTTGAACAGTGATATTTGTCCTAGAAAACTCTTTGGGGTGGTATAGTTGTGTCTTCTCTCGTTCTGGTAATACCTGGTACTCATCTCATTTACACTGGTATGAACATGTGCCATGAAAAGGCTAATGGAATCTTTTTCCAGTGGCTGAAAACATAAAAACAGCAATTTAAAGTTTCTCAGTTAAAAATGCAATAAATGCTGCTTTACTTAAAATTGGAAAAACATGGAAGCAGCCCAAATGCCTAAAAGTAGATAACTAGATTAAAAAGATGTGGTACATATACACAATGGAATATTACTCAGCAGCCAAGAACTTGGATGGAGCTGGAAAAGATCATGCAAAGTGAGATAAACCAGAAAGAGAAAGAAAAATACTGGATGGTTTCACTCATAGCAGGAGTATAATGGACCAGGTAAGAAAATAATAAGAATAATGAATCACCATATACCAGAGACATTTTGTGGGGGTGGAGAGGGAATGGGATCAAAAACGGGGGGGGGGCATGGAAGTGAACAGGACTATGGTGATGGCACATGGGTGACTCAGTGATGGGAAACCCATGGGGATTACAATTGAGATGAAAAAAAATAAGTACAAATGATGTCAAAATAAACTATTATAAAAAATGCAATAAAAATTTAGCAAAATTATGCCAAGATTTTCTTTTTCTAAAAGGCTGAATAAACTATAGTAGAACCTAGGAACATTTTTTCAGTCTCCAAGGGATAGCCACAGGATGAGAGATGACAGGAAAGCATTCAGCCTTAGTAACTCTTCTCGCCAAGTAGGGCAAAGGATTTTTATGTGCTCCACATACCAAACCCTTAAGCCAACATACAAAGCAAGCACTGCTTTTCACAACATGATTTTATCTACCAAGTGTGCAAACTAGAAAAAGAAGAAATGAAGACATGCTTGAGAAGTATTTTTTATATTGCTTTCAAACTAAACTTTAGTCAAAGGGTATCAACAATCCTACAGTCACTGAAAAAAAATGCTGAGAAATAGAGTTTGGTAAAACCCATGTGAAGACAAACTGGGTGGCAAGGGGTAAAATTTCTGGGAGAAAAATTACCATGATCATTTTTATTCTTATTTGAACTAAACAACAACAAAATTCCCAAATAATCCCTATTTACTTATTTATTCATTTATTTACTGAAGGGACAACCGCCCCACACCCCCAGTATACTCTTTCCATTTTGTCCTCTATGACTTCTGAAGTAGTTAACTTTTTAATTTGTGGAGTCACATCTCCCTCATTTTAATGATTATTTATTGCAATCTGTACAAGATGAACCAGGTTCAATTAATCAAGGGAAGCCTAAAAATCAATTAATATGAATTAAATGAGCTACACCAACTCTTCGGAAAGTCACACATAATTTACCAAAGTGTTGTCAATAATGCTCCACATCTTTGGGAAAATTGCACACAAGTGGCTGGTGATGCAGTTAAATGTTTCAAACCTGCGTCATTAATATCACAAGCAGGGGTGTGAGAAGAGGCTGGCCAGGCGGCTGAGCAGCCTCTAAACACTTAGCTTTCCAACAGCAAGAAAAATCCTTGGCTTTAAAATACATCCTCACTGGCTTGTTCTGCATATTGAAAATCCATAGCACTCCTAATTAAAATACTATTTTAAGTCAAAAGTTAAATATAAAATGATACAAATCCTGGACATTCTTTGAGTCAGGTAGATCCAAGACATGTGTATATTATCAAACAGTGGACTTGAAAACATAAGTTTACAAGGAAGTTCTATAAACGACATAAATCATGTCCCCTGGAGGGGGGGTTATCTTTAAAAGAGTGAGGCAGCAATATGGCCACGGCAGAAATTCACTTCTGTCCTGTCTCATTTTTTTTTTTTAAAGATTTATTTATTTGTGCGTACAGAACTGGGGTACAGGCCAGAGGCTCAGGGGCGGTGAGAGGCTTCACCAGAGACAGAGTGGGGAGCAGAACAGGCAGATCAACGAAGTACACTGCTGAGGGGAGCAGTGGGCGGGTCAGGAGAGGTCTGCCACACCATGTGGTCACCTCCGGGGCAGGCGGGAATCGAGCTCATGCGGAAGCAGCTTTAGATTCTCAGTGCTGTGCTTTAACCCGCTGCACCACCAGGGAGGGCCTGTCCTGTCTCATTTTAATGCGGGCACATATCTTTCTTCGATAGGGATAAATACTTCCCCAGCCAAGGGCAACCTCCTTACAGGGAAAGAAAAAAACAAGCACCCTGGCCTCTGCCCAGCCATGATCCTTATGAGGAGGCTCCTCACTGCCCTGAAAAGCTCTCTTTAACAACAGTTTCATTTGTAAATCTGAGATGGAAGAAGTGGTTTCCGGTAGAGCTGGAAGTGGCCCGAGACAACTTGTCTCAATGGGGCAAAATAACTATTGTTATCGGGCTTAACAAAATGGCACAGCATGGGAGACTTGCGGAGCCAGGGAGCAGCTGGTTGTAATTCACACTGTTTTTCAGAAAACTCTAATCCTTCCAGAACAGACCTCTTTGATGACTGGTCTTCCCTGCATTCTCAATTTGTCACTTTCTCTTATGATAAGGTCAGTAGTGACAGCACTTCCTGACATTAACAGCTGTGGCTTTTAAAAGGGTCATTGTAGAACTACTAATTGCAGTAATTTCATTAGCATAAATTATTTATTCTGCCATTCATTTATCTCCAGTTTTCTTTTGGGGTGGGGGCAACAGGGAGGAAGGGCTGCTGGTGCCGCACAGTGATGGCAGCGCAATGCTGTATTTTTCACTTTTAAAGATGCCAGTGAAAAGCATCGTTCCTGCTACATTTGGCCCCTTAATGAAAACCAGTTGATCCCATTTTGTAGTCATTTAGCAGCCAAATGCGCTAGAGGCAAAAATACAAATAAGCGATGTGCCAATATCAAGTGGTTATCAATCCAAGGTTTCCCTGCTTGGATGCTTTGGAAAACAATGGCATGCCCAAGGCACCAGCAAAGCAAAGAAGAAACTCCTTTATCCTCACGGAAAGGCAGCGTGTTTAATTCCACCCTCTGTTGGCTCGCTATAAACACCGAAACTAACAAATCTCTGCTCTTTGGTGCGACAGCATGTGGGTGGTGGCAGAGGTAGCCACACCAAAACCCCAGTCACCTGACTCTAGAAGCAAGTGCTGAAGGTGAAGGCGAAGCCATGAATGAAACACCGGTATCAGAGGCCAGCACTGAACAAGTATATTCCATGTTGGTTAGGACTTGATGCTTCTCAGAACCAGCAAAGGGGACAATACTGGTCTATAATTTTAAGTTGAAACTGTCAAAGAGTGTTGCTTTCAAGACAGGCAAGAGAGAGGGGACAGAGAACAAAAAACTTTCTAAATTGGGATAATTTTCATATAGAATGTCTGATACCTATAGTCAGAGAGTTTCTCTCTGAAATTATTTCTATGTTAATTAGTTTACAGCTTTGTTGAGGTATAACTGATATATAAAACATGGCACATATTCGATATCTATGCTAATATTTAATACTTCCAAACAATGGAATTATTAAATCAGTTATTTGTACCTTTTAGCTTCATTCGATATTGTGGTTAGAAGGTTGTTTCATTAAATGTGAATGATATTAAAAGTAACGTTAACATTATTTTTACATTTTAACATTTTAAATAACGTTTAAAATTGAGCAGTACTGTATTTAAGCACCTGTAAAGCTCCTCTTAGTACTGATTTACTCTAAGGAAAACTCCAGGAGGCAGTCGGGAATGCAAGGTCCGACCACCAGGACTTGTATTACTACATTTCTAGTTCTGTAAAGTTAGACAAGTCTCTGCAGTCCCTGCACTTCCTCCTGTTCACAAAACCTATGGTCATTTCTTTTAACACTGTTTTCTTCCTTTCCTTTTTTCTTTAACAAACAAAAACAAAAAACTGTAACAGCTAAGAGAAGGACTAAGGCCATGCCATGAGCTGTGGTGGAAGAACCTTCTGGGCCCCTTACCCGTAGCCTTGTGCTCGTGGTCTTCGTCCACTCAAATTTGTGCTAGAGAAACCAGCGGTCCCTCCTTAGAAGGCTGGGATTTGAGGTAATAAACAATGCAAATGTAGGGAGATGACTTCTACAGTTGGTGTGGGTAGCAGGAGCCCCAAAGACAGCCCCTGGCAGGGCAGCTAGGAGCTCTAAAGGCACTGCCAGGTTGTGGAAATCCCAAACTGACATTTTGTTCCTGTTTGTTACTGTAGCAACTGCATTTTGTTGCTAGCTTGTTTATGTTTTCTGTTTTTTTTTTTCTATTTTATTTATTTATTTATTTAATTTATTATTGCTTTAATTTTAGAGCTCGTGTCCTGGTCAAAGACAAGAAAAAGTTCAGCACAATCCAGTAAACTTCTAGATGAATTTCCTGACAGATTAAGAAGTAATGGAAGGGGTACCTCAATGGTTCTCTGACAGAACATTAAAATGAAGAAGTGAATGAAGACAAAGAGTGAGATGAAACAAGCCAGCTACCCTCTTAGAGCAAAGTGAGAAGGAGAAAGTGTGGTTGGTTCTGGGGAGACCAGGCCACACAGGAAAACCATAAATAAAACTTGGAGGTCTTGACAGCTCCATTTGACTTAGATAAACTTGTAGTTGACATATCTGCCAGGCTCCTGGGTAGCTATGAAAACAGGACTAACTTTTAAAATAGAAAGGTTTCCTAAGTTTAGATAACTGCAAAACAGGCTGGGAAACAGCTGACTGTCGTCTGCTGTTTAAAATTCTATTCTAAATTTGATTAATATGTACAGAGGAAGAACTGTATTATGGACAGTGTATTTGTGTGCACGTGTAAAGGAGAAAGTGGGCTCAAGAAGGAAAAAGGATACTAACAGCTACCTGTGCCTTTTCTCACTTACTGATTGTACTCTGGAGTCACATGAGATTCACATGAGATTTAGGTGGATTCAAGACAATTTGGTTGCATTTCTCTCTTGCTCTTTCAAGTGGCTTCAACATTCCTCAGAAAAGCTATCTCTTTCAAACTCATACAATTTCTACTAAACATCATTATCTTTCTACTTTTCTGTTCACAGCAGATAATTCTAATTCACATCTCAAAGAAAGAATTGTGCTAAAAACATATTAACAGGAATGCTGCCAACCTAGCTATCACTGACAAAATATTATTTACTGCTTTTCATGCTTGGCTTAACACTTTTAAAACAACTGACCGACCACTGACAATCAGTCTTTAACTACAACGGTTATGTAACTTTCCATGGGGAGAGGACCTTTTTCATGATGGATTTAAGATATGGTAGCAAAATATGCAATTCCTATGTTACCAACCCATGCAACAAGTTTGGAACGAAGAGGTGGTGGCATGTGGAATAAATTCATTCCGTTGAAAAAAAAAAAAACAAACGGATGGTGCCGAGCTTGTGTAATTACGTTCAGTCCCATCACATCAAAAGAACAAAACTTTATCTTCCAGCTGATGAACAGCCCTTTAGGCTCCTCAAGCTCACTCAGCCCTCTATGCTAGTCCTTCCAGTGCAAACCTCACATGTTGGCTCCCTTTTTTATTTTCTTTCAATGTTTTTCCCTTGCATTAGGTCCTGCTGTCAGGTCTGTCTATTTTGACTTGAAAAGCAAGAATACTTCTAATACCCATCTTCCAGTATTTTCTTGAATGTTCCTCACTGGGATGCATGCACTCCCTAGTAAGGTCTCCTCTCATTGTGCTTCTCTCAAAGGGCGGCTCCTTCTCCCCATCCTCCCAGTGCATCCTCCCATCTCTATTTACAAATCCCCTGGAGGAAGAGTGTGTGTTGACACAAAATCTTCAGATAAATACCCAGTGATACTGAAATGTCAAATTATTTTGGTCATTCTGTCAGCTGTCATTTTGTTCAATACCAGGTAACAGGAAAGAGGCACAAACATTTATTTAGACACACCCCTGGCTGCTTAGTGTACACTGATTGAAAATTATATGTCAACATACGCAAAATCGCTTGCCTTTAATGAATCCTTTCTCAGTGGCTAAAGGGGGTCACCTTGTGTAAGTACCTCACGTTTAGCGAATGAGGTCAATAATTAAGAAGTGCCTAAATTATGCTGATAACTTTCAATCCTAATGGTGGAAATTAAACTTGGAAAGTGATCAAATTAGTGCTCATTCAAAAAATTTAAAAGCTATTTTTGACCTTTACAAAAAAGGCACCACATATTTTTAAAAAGAACACAGACATATTACACTCTAAATTATAATTACTGCTCCTGGGTAACAAATTAGAAAAGTGGGAAAGTGAAATAAGTACACTGCACTGAAATGAAATCATCTGGCTAATTTGTTTGCAGGCGTAATTCAGCTCCATAGAAATAGCAAAGAGCTTTTTCACGTCCTCTTTGGCACTCGGCAGCCTACAGGAGGCGCCGTGACACCACCAGATGAAGCTCAGGGCCTGCCAAGAGCCTATGGGCTAGCACCGTGCAAGTCCTGCTGCGTCCAGCAGATGTCAATGGTCACTGGCCCAGGTCTGTGCGTTCCCAGAGTGGCTCTAACTTTCCCCAGAAAGCCTGCAGTAAAGGCAACGACCTTAAGGAACTGGGCCAAACTCAAACTGATGCCATGCCACTAGCCCTGGTTTCCTCCCACTTGAGACAGTACATTAGGAGTAATTATCAGAAGACAAAACAATGTCCAGTAATGCAGCAAACCTTGCAGTAGTTTATGATATTTGTTCGTTTTGACCATTATTTGTTACATTTAATGACTTTCAGATTTTAAAGTATCAAACTTTTGGCAGCCTTTACCTGATACTAGTGTTAGTCTGTCTTAAACAGGTTTGCTTGGTTGGCCCCTTCAGGCAGACAAGAAATAGTAAAATCAGAGTTTCAAAAGGCTTTATTAATCACTCCTGCCAATGTCTACCGTGTTTCTCATGAGTTTACCACAACAAATTTACCCTCATTTCCCAAAATGGAAGCAGTGCTATGCAGTGCTCCCTGACAGTGAAAAATCACTTAAAAAAAATAGGTTTACAAATAAGACATGGGGGGGGGGGAAATAACAATGCCAGACATACTCTGCAAGGTTGGGGTGGGGGGAAGAATCTGAAGGAGGGAGGGAGGGCCACAGGGGACTGTGGTGATGGTGCAGGGATGCACTGGGGGAGAAAACTATGGGGTCTAGACGGGTTGGGGATTTTATACATATTTTAGGTAAAGGTTGACATTTTTTTCTTGGTAGCATTAAATATCAGGTTAATAGTTGAGGTAGAAAAACCCAATAAAGTCTGTATAATGTTAGATATGTAAAATAAATGAAAATATAAATAATTTTAGTATACACAAATAATTAAATATGTAGCTTTGTCTAGATTTCTAACTACCTGGCCACCAAAAGATTCAACAAAAAATTAAAAGTCTGCTTTGGAAGAATGGAAGGTGTGTCTTTAGTTCCAGTAGGCTGTCCTGGTTTATGATAAACTTCTAATCACAGACATCATGCCTTGTATTTCCCCAATTCTATTTCTGACCCAGAAATCACTTGGATTTCTGCTTTACTTTAGATAACTTTTTCTTTACTACTGAGTTCAATCAGAATACAAACCTCTCTAGGAAGTGTTCACAACCACCACTCTTCCAAACTAATGAGAAAGGCACTAAATGTAAAGCCCCAACTCTCGGTAATGATACCTCACATTCCTTCTTCCCTCTGAATCTGAACACTCTGGATTTTTGTTGTTGCTTCATTCAGCCACTTAACAATGTAACAGGAGGTGCAAATGTCATCATGAATAAATGACAAACATATCTCATAAAACCAAAAAACAAATAAACACATACATTATTTGATTTAGAGATTACTAAATCCCTGACTTTTCACCTGTCAGTACTATAATGAGAAAATCACAATTGCCTTTTTGGTAAGATAAAGCATTGTATGGCTGTGAATGGCTACTTTTTCATCTGGGCCTTCAGTTGTACGTTTAAAGGATTTAAATTCACTAAGCATGAGTATAGTTCAAGTCAGCAGTGATTCTGGCCTTCTCATGAGCCCCTGCATGAATGAGAACACGTTAATGTGCTCTCTGTGGCTGTCTATGTGAGTGCCCACACATCTCAACCTGGTGCAAAAAGGTCGGTCATCATATTCCATAGAATGTAAATTAACCAAGATGCTCTTATTACTTTAAACAAGGACAAATTTCTGACGGGAAGCATATTTGAAAAGTGCTTATTTACTAAAAGTGTGTGAGAGAGAGAGAGAAAAAAAAAGAGAGGGGGAAAAAAGAGAGAGCGAGAGAGATTGGGAGTCTGACCAGCATACCTCAATTCCCTCGGTTTCCTCAATGAACCTCCTGCTGACTGAGACTAGAGCCTCCTGTGGCCACGCATGAAACCAGTCAATAGCCGTGCAGTTAACTATGGCTGGGAACTTCCGAGCTCTAACTCTCAGCGTGTGACCAACTGGAGAGAAACACAAAATGATCTGTGGAGACATGTGGGCAGGGCAGAAACAGGAGGGCGGTGGTGAGCAAAGAATTACACTGCAATCCCAGACAATGAAAGAAAGGAGCACCGCCAACCGTGACATCAAACTATCCTGAAGCAGCCCAGAGCAGAAAGCAACATTAACCTCCTTGCTAATCAAAGCACAAGCCTATGCCAAGTGGCTGCCCATCATACATGTGGCAACACTGCTGTGTGCTTCTTTTCTCCTTTTAAACATTTTTGATGATTATCATGCATAGTGGAAAAATTTTGTGCTTTTCCCTTATCAAAGCAGTATTTTAACAATTAAAAAAAAATGAAAACCAAATCACCATGATAAAGTCATAGCAAATACATTCACCTTCTGTTCATTAAAACTGCGTAATATACTTACAAAATATACCATATCGTACTTCAATGTGTTTGCTTTGTTCACATTAAAAAACCATAAAACCACATGTGTTCATATTTTAAAAGCAGTAAATTTCACCTTACACATGTTCTTGGTGAGAGATTTGTCCGGTTTCCCATGCCGGTCTAAAATGTTAACGATTTAATGAGTTAAGAGCTAATTTAAATTTGCGTATGTTGCCACACTCTCTTCAGGGACACAGAGACCCGTGAGCGGCGCCTGCATGTGGCAGAGTCAAGACAGGGGGCAGAGTGGGCCCTCAAGGCTGCAGCGTCACTGAATACCCCTTCTGGGATTCTGAGCTTCTTGGGGCTCATTAGAAGAGCGGCCCTATATAAAGTGCTCCAGTGGGGGTGTTCTGGGATCCTCCTCTCCCCCTCCCCCACTGCCTCCCCAAGTTCTCATGGACTCAGACACTGGGGGAAATAATGTCAGCTGAGCTGAGGTCTGACAATGTCAGTCTCGGTTTCCTGTTTTTTAGAAAGGCCTACAGCATGATGATATAAAACACAGAATTTTGCAGTTTTAAGTCTGTAATACTTTGAGATCAGGTAATTAATGAAATCACTTTTCAAAGCATATGTCTTTGCTACAGCATTTTAAAAATTCACATTGCCAACATCCTCAGCTTTTATGAACCCACATGTCCCATTTAACAGGTATTATGGTAATTTTACATACTATGAATCTTCAACAACTTGAGAGGCAAATCCTAAGATCCAAAATGTTTTTTAATGATTCATCAGCTGACTGATCATTTATTCATTAAATTCAAGATTCTAGTTACCAGCTAATAATTGCTCTAACATTGCATGTGCTAAGTTAAAGAGCCTCAGTTACTATGCATAATTCTCACATCTCAGGGTTTCGGTTTTTGCTACCAATCTCCTTTTCTCCCCATACCTGAATATTTCTCCTTTCTGTCCAGGAGGTGGTTTTACACACCCAATTGCTCTCACATGAGTGACAATTTTTAAAAATTCATTTGCAGGTAATTGTAACAAAGACAGATGGGGAAAAAAGTACACTTTATGTGAGACTCTTTGTATTCCCATCACTTCTATACTGTCTTTTTGAACTTGTTACTACACACAGTCAGGTTTTAAGAATGTTTTAGAAAACAATGTATCTGAATCATGTGTTTTTAGCCAAGAAAAAAAAAAACGCTTTTTTTTTAAATGGCATGTCTTTACTTTTCTTTGAAGGGGAATACAGAATACTCCTTTTCTACTCTTTTAAGGCTGAGAACCATATTTTCCTGTAATTTACAATTTACAAGGTTCAAACACCATCTGAAATTCCACAGGAGAGGGGATGGCAGGGGCCCAGAGATTCTCAAATCCTGCCAGCAAAGGGAACTGGCTAGAACAGCAAACTCAGGAACTCACTCCAGCCCTAAGGAATCAGACGAGAGATGTGATTTGGCCCTAAGGAATCAGACGAGAGATGGACTTGGCAACTGGTTTCCTGCAGGCTCTCCAAGTCATTCTGACACCCACAACTATGACCTAGTAATTTTGTATTTTCTATGGAGATACTAGTGAAACATTTACACTTTCAATGTTTTACAATTGGTGAAATATATGTCTTTATCTACAGACAGAAACAGAAAACTTAGAAAATTTAAATAAACTAGGTACTCATTAAAAACCTAAGTTTTAGTCATCCAAAAGGAAATCTGGGAACTAGAGAAACAAACTTGTTCATGAGTACCGCCTCTGAAAGTAAACAACACCAATGAAGTCTTGGGGCACACAATCATTTACTGATTCATTGCTTAATAACTTCTAGTTTTGCTAAAAATATAGTAGTGCAGATGTTCTGCTTTGTTAGTTTTTTTTTTTTTTAGTACTTTTTACATCATTGTTCATTCTGCTTTCAGGTGTAATCTCCATAAAATTACCACCACCAAGACACCCGTGAACCATCATTTGGTTAGCAGTCATGCATGAGACACACACAATTATGTATCTTACATTATCTTAATCTACTCATCCACTGATGGGCACTTAGGCTATTTTCGTACTTTGGTTACTGTGAATAATGCTACTACCAATAGAGGAGCAAAAATAAATCATGATTTAATTTCCTTTGGGTCTATAAACAGAAGTGGGATTGCTAGCTCATCTGATTAGTAGTATTCTTGACAGGTTGAGGAACCTCCATATTGTTTTTCCATAGTGTCTGTACCCATTTCCAGTAACATTGTAAAAGGCTTCCTTTTTTCTCTTCTCATTTATTTATTTTTTAAATAACAGCCATTCTAACAAGCATGAGCTGATATCTCACTATGGTTTTGATTTGCAGTTCCCTGATGATTTGTGATGTGGATGGAGCATCTTTTCATGTACCTATTGGTCATTTGTATGTTTTCTTTGGGAAAATGAGATTCAGATCTTTGCCCACTTTTTAAGTGGGTTATTTTGTATTTTTTTGCTATTGAACTGCATAACATCCTTGTATAAATTGAATATTTAATATCCTACTGGGCATGTGGTTTACACATACCTTCTTGCATCCTATAATATGCTTTTCAGGGCCTCCCTGTTGTACAGGGGGTATAAAGCTATCCTTACCCACTGCAGCATGCGTTTGATCCCTGCCCAGGAAGCTGACCTACATGGTGCAGCAGACCTCTCCTGTCTTGCCCCCTGCTCCCCTCAGCAGTGTATTTCAGTAGATCTGTCTGTTCTGCTCCCCACTCTGTCCCTGGTGAATCCTC